TTTTTTTTTTAATTTTGACCTTAATGCCAAGGCAATGGATCATTAAAAAGGTTTAAAAAATATATAACACACAAAATTATTTTGACAAGCGAGTACAGGATTGTTAACGGAATGACGACTTGTGCGAAGGATTGAGCATGTCAACCCTGTCCAAAAGTACCACCAGTCAGGGTGACAGGAAATGATGCCGAACATTCAACATGTTTTAAAGATGATATAAAGGACAATCCCGAACTTATTGCAACGCACTTAAACAGCTGTAACTTTTAAACCGCGATAATAAATGACTTGAAATTTTCAGAGAAGATTCTTAAGACGAATTCTTAGTAAGACAACAATAGACCAAGGTTCAATGGCAAACTAATACCCAGTTTTCAATTAAGGAATCCAAAAGCTGTCTTTAAACTTTGTACAGTTGCGAAAAAGTCCATCCTCAGAATTCCTTGAGGTTCTTTTCGAAATTTTTACAACTCTATGAGCTCTTTTAAAATTCTTCTCAGAGTCCTCTGGAGTTATTTTTAGAACTCTTCTAATCAAATCTATCTAATCTAACACCAGCTTAGCCAGTTCTTGAAAGCATCCTGGAAAATGATATATATACCTACATCATTTTTCTTGTCTATTTGATATATGTTTCCCATCGAAGATGCGTCACACATATCAAAACGGCCAGGCCTACTGTGCAGCATTTAAGGAACAAGATGAATCAGAAAAATCGGGCCTGTTTAAATCGAAGATTTAAACACGATGCTTCAGAATCCAATAAATGGATGAAACGTGGACATCTCGTACCGTACGTTCCAATTTTGGTAATTATATGATCGGTAGGTCGTTGGAAGCATCAAAACTAGAAAGGTTAAGTGATGCTCCATTTTCTTCTGACGGTTGGGGCATGAGCACTAACTCTTGTCCTAGCATTTTATGACTTATGGCTATAGCGCCATTACTCGCTTTCTGCAAGAGAAGAGGGAAAGGAAAAGGAGAACAAAGGGTAAAGGATTATGTGAAATCTATGAACATAAGCAATTTGATTTGATATATACAATATAGTAATGCATAACGGCGCGGTGGTCACTACCCGAGTCTTGTCACTATTATCAAGTCATAAAAAGTAACAAGGACTAAAATGTGATCCTTTGATTACTGAAAATCCTGATTCCCTATTTTGAAGTTTTCACGACTAGGGTTCGGTGGAAGATCTTATACCAGTAACGCACCACAAAAAGGTGATCTCCCAAAGTTACTGGTTTGAAAAGATAAAAATCTACAAAATGGAACGAACTCACCAAGTTTAGCCAATTGAACCTGAAGGCTGCCTCACATGTGTTGATGTAGAAGTCCAAATTGTAGACGAAGCTTGACGAAGATCAACAGGAACTAATCCGGTTTATAGTAGTTGCGCGGAATGTCTTCCTTCGATTTGAGATAAATAAATGTCCGGATGTATGTAGTCGATTTTTGAAGAGCATTGGCAAGCCTATTCGTGGTCAATAGTTAGGTTCAACGCTGCGAATCAACGAATGATGGAACTAATGATGGGACGAATGATTGGATGACTTGGCTTCAGAGCAGCTTCTCAGCGGCAAATAATAGGGACCTAGAATGAGGAACTAGAAATTGTCTCCTGGGCCTGGTTATGGCCAGATCAGTAACCGATTACAGATATATAAAAAAAAACTCCGCGAAAAAAAAACAAACGTCAGGTTCGAACACACGCACAGCCTACTCCCATCGGGTTCTCTCAAGGAGTTATTTTTAGAACTCCTCTTGACTTTTACTCAGAAAACCATGGAACTGAAATTCCCTTAGAGTTTCAGAAGAACTTCCTCAGTATTATCCAGAAATTATTTCCGGAATGAGCTAGAAATTATCGGTACTCCATGAAATCCCTTTGGAATTCCACTCAAAATTTAGTTTTCTCGGTATTCTTTTCAGAATTATCTTGGAACTATCTGCAGGATGCACTAGAAATTATCCGCAGAATTTTCTTTGAATTCTCCCCAGAAATATTTTGGAACTGTCTAATAATTCAATATCCTTGAGGTTCTTCTCGGAATATTTTTGGACTTTTTTTTCTCAAAACACCTTGGAACTGAAATTCCCCTAAAGTTTCAGAAGAATTTCCTCTGTATTCTCCAGAAATTCTTTCCAAAATGAGCTTGAAATTATTCTCGGAATTCCTTTGAAATTTTCCTCAACATCCCTTTGGAATTTCATTCAAAATTTGATTCTCTCGGTATTATTTTCGAAATTATCTTGAACGAATCTGCAGGATTCACTAGAATATATTTGCAGAATTTTCATGAAATCAATCTCAGATTTTTTTTCTTCTGGAACTGTCCTCAGAATTCAATACCCTTGAGGTTCTTCTCGGAAGTCAAGTTTAAGTTGTCCGTCCATTCACCAAAACGTTGTAGTGTTTCAACCAGAAATGTTCAATAAAACTTGCCCCTCCATTCACCAGAAACGGCAATTTTTACATCAGTAATTTTCAATTCAGCTTGCCCCTCCATGCAACAGATTATTGCAAATCTTACACCAGAAATGTTCAATACAAACTTGCCCCCAGGTAATTCTACACCAGAAAATTTCAATTGCAAACAGAACGATGCAAATTTTCCACCGTTGATGTTCAATAAAAATTGCTTCTCCAATCTTCTGATTGGTGCACATTTCCTTTTTTTTTCATTTTCCACCAGACATTTATCCAACATTGGTTTTGAATAATAGATCTTTTCCCCAGTTTCATGCCGTCCACATTTCATGTTTCTGGGAAAAGAATGTTCAAGAATGTTTGTTCCATTCACGGTCCTACATCAAGCTTCCGTTCGTGCCCCTAGGTACAGACCCTTCTTCTTTTTTTTTTAGTCGATTTGTTTTTGTAGAACTACGTCTTTGTCGACTATACTGGGGTGCAAATAAAAAAATATGTGTGGTGAAATACACAGCAAAAAATTAATTTTAATATCACATCAAAGTGGATGCACTTCAATCGTGTCGAAAATATGTTGTAATATTACTATCCAAAAAGAACAAAATTACCATTAATGCATTGCATGAACTGACGTTACGCTGCTTTTACTGCATTTGTTTAGTTTTGTTGCCATAACAATTTCATGAGATTCTTCATCTTGGATGTAATATTAGAGTTTATTTATCGCTATGTAGTGTTAGGTTTTGAACGCTTGTAACTTTGCCATTTATAGATGAAAATAAAATCCGAATACGCCAATCGATAGGATATTACATTACATATCTGTTGAAATATTTTTTTAATTGGTACGCAACTGTTGCTTTAATCATGATGCTTTAACGTGCTACGAGATAGGACACTGAGCATTTCTTGTCCCAGTACGCAGTTCAAAAGAAATCGGTGAAGGAAAGATCGATTACATTAGTATCGTGAACGATATGAAGGTGGCGAATACTGAATAAATATAAATAAATACTCCCTATAGCTGTCAAATTTTCTTTTGGGAATAATACTCAAAAATTACTTTTCCGTTTTCTTTTCAGCTGCGTACCAAGCTTTAAGCCTAGTACGCAGCTGAAAAGAAAACGGAAAAGTAATTTTTGAGGAATATTCCCAAAAGTAAATTTGACAGCTATAGGAAGGTGTATTTTGCTAAATTTTGAGATAATTTTAAAATCAACAATTATCAGTTTTTATGTTGTTAAAATGGATGCATCATTTTTACAACAAACATTAAAATTACCAAACGGAATAATTGATCAGACCATTATTCCGCAAGGAAAGTGAAATTTTATTCAGAATTCGCCACCTTCATGTCGACCACGATACTAATGTAACCGATTTCTTTTGAACTGCGTACTGGGTCAAGAAATGCTAAGGAAAAGTATTTTCTTTAGCATTCCGTGTCCTATCCCGTAGCACGTAAAAACGGCATTACATTTCAGCTGCGTACCAGGCTTTAAGCCTGGTACGCAGCTGAAAAGAAAACGGAAAAGTAATTTTTGAGGATTTTTCCCAAAAGAAAATTTGACAGCTATAGTCTGCTAAATTTTGAGATTATAGGGAGATGTGGTCAAATTGTAAAATCAACACTTATTAGTGTTTATGTTGTTTAAATGCATCCAAAACATCAGTTTTGCAATAAACGCCAACATTACCTAACGGAATAATTGATCAGACCATTATTCCGCAAGGAAAGTGACATTGCATTCAGAATGCGCCACCTTCATGTCGATCACGATACTAATGTAATCGATCTTTCCTTTACCGATTTCTTTTGAATTGCGTACTGGGTCAAGAAATGCTGAGGAAAAGTAATTTCTTTTGCATTCCGTGTCCTATCCGGTAGCACATAAAAACGTCATTACTTTTCAGCTGCGTACCAGGCTCTATCCGGTAGCACATAAAAACGTCATTACTTTTCAGTTGCGTACCAGGCTGAACTGCGTACTGGGTCAAGAAATGCTAATTAAAAGAAATTTCTTTAGCATTCCATGTCCTATCCCGTAGCACGTAAAAACGTCATTACTTTTCAGCTGCGTACCAAGCTTTTGGGATAACTGTAAGCTGTACGTCTGCACTGCAGTGCACAAGTTATTGACAATGCGTCTCCATCAAAACGTATGAAATAATGTTGCATTTCAACAACTGATAAATATTTGAAAAATAGAACTGCAAACTAATAAACTATTGATAAAAAAAAATCCCGCTAAGCGAAGTACGACATCTATTCTCCATCTGTATGCCCAAGCACAAGACCAAAAAAAAAAATCCAACAGCTGGTGCTCACAGTCAGTGTTGCTAGATAGTCACCCACATCTGCTTCGTCCCACCGACCGACCGACGGGCGAGCCTGCTACGACTGCGACTACGGCGACGCCGACATCGATGACGACAGGAGGACGATGGGAGGCAACGTGCCTGGCGGCTATCAAACCACCGGTCGCCCCAAAGCGTTGCTGGTATTCTGTGTTTTGCTCCCCACAGCACAGTCAGTGGAAAACTGTATGCCAACCAGAAAGGATCGTCTGCCCTCGTTGGTTCGCTCGTTCGTTCGTTCTTTCATTCGCTCGGTACTCCACCGTTATCGTCATCGTCGTTGGATTGCGCGCGGCAACCGTTCGTTCGTTTCGATACACAAACTTCACGTCACATCACCAACCTACCGATCGGTTTGTGTATCAGTCAGTCAGTCAGTCAGTTAGTGAGTCAGTCATTCAGTTAGTCGGCAACTGCTGCATTTTACCGGGACGACAAGGACGAGGTCAATTCAAACGCAGTGGAAATAGTGCAGACAAATTTGGAATCTAATATCGTGCTCCGGTTGCGCCGAATGTGAGTAGGGATGGGAAATGGCATTTTTTTCCACGATTGAATTGCCATTTCCCTTTGGGAAGTGAGGGGCTCGAGTATCATTTTCCCGCGCGAAGAGTAGTGCACGATAAGGGTTAGTGCAATCAAATAAAAGAGTGGCTAAATTTTTGATTAGGAATCGGGGCCAGTAGTGAGTGCGTGGACGGCTCACGGTGAGATTCAATTAAAAAAAAAAAACACGTGCCCGATTACAGTATTTGGGTGCTGCCGGTGACGTCGTGAGGTGCAATCGAATTGGAAATCACCGGACACCTCTCCGCAGGAAGGAATAACAGAAAAGAAGAAAAAACAGAGTTGATGAATGTGAGATGCTACAAGTGTGCCTACTACGATATATGATGATAGAGCAACCAGTGGGGGCGATGTGATACGAAGAGGAGAAAAATGTGCGTGCGGGAAAATGAGCTTTTATTGGATTTAGCTTGCTGCTCGATCCGTGCTGGTGGAATAAGTGTGAACGATACATGGAGGAAGGATTTTCGAATGGAAATGTGGCATTTACCGTGAAGAGGCACAATGTAAACATGTGTGCTGAGATGCGAAATGTCGATTAGAGATTACTTTGAAACCGAACAAGTTCTTTGCGTTGCTGACGCACTATTTTATTGATGTTTTAGTGTAGAATCTGATAGGCTCCTTCTCATACAGACAAATTGTTGGAAAGAAGCCAAATTATCATCAAATGTTCTATCTGAAAATCTCTCCACACTGCACAGCAACCTATCTGCTAAAATATTTTAGGCGGTGATTTTTCTGCTGAAAAGGTCAAAATTGCCTGTTACTCATCAAGCCATATCTCGTAAAATGTTTGTTCAAATAATTTACTTTTCAGAAAACATCATATCCCCTTTACTGGTTTATACAATATGTGGAGAGAATTACAGTTGAATATATTAATAGACTAAAAAAGCCACGCGATATGCAAATGGACAATTTCATGATAAACTGGAGACTGTTTAGCATAAATTCTTAAAGTTTTCACTCCCGCAATTTTCCTAAAGTTTTCAATACTTACTTGAAGCTCATGAAACTTCCTTTAATATCTTTAAAATTCTGCGAACTTCCCTGAAGTGGCCAGAAGTTTTTGGTCTTTTATGAAGTCCATTTTCTATGTAATTGCAAAAGTGTCTCATATCCCGGTTAACCAAAAATTATTGGAAAAGGTTTTTATTTCAAATTTTTGCGATAATTTGAATTTATACAAAATTTTGTTTTTATTTTACAAAATAACACAAGAAAAAATAAAAAAATCAATTAGTATCAATCTTGGGGAAAATTTTCAATACAGTTTTCTTATATTTTTTACTTCGATTGCTTTCTTCCGATTCCAGCCTTGTCTACTTACGATGTCTCTTCAATGTTTAAACTTACTTTCTCCAAAAAAAACTCCATTTACTCTTCTCCTGTTTCGGCAAGTTTTATGTAATATGAAATAGCTGCGTCATCTTCGAGATGTTTGGATGAAAATGTTTTTCGATTAAGAGAAACAAAAGGGTCCATATTCAACAGCAATGATCTCATCAAGTCTTCGTTGGAATTGATTCTGGATGTTTTCCTTGTGTGGTTTAGTCAATTTTTCCTGATAATTTTACGGGTAGCTCCTAAAGCTTCTTGCGAAAATTTGCCAATGAGTAACTCGAACATTGAAATAAAGTTGGCGCTATGTATCAACAGTTTAAGAACCGTCAAAGGCATGTAAGACCAGCTGTAAAGAGCTAAGTATTGATCCCTTGTTTCTTGTAATAATGTCTCGAATAATGTTTGATATTTGGGAATATCAATTGGTAGTCCGCTGGCTACTACTCTCAAAATCGTACCAAATTTTTCGATGAGAGTTTCATCGATTCCCGTGATAGCACCACTTGTAACAGGATCAGAAAAAAAATCACGCGCTGTGTTGCCACCATTGGAAGTACCGTATCCTGGCTTAGGCTTATCAACAATTAATCCCATTTGAACTTTAAACTGTTGTTGAATCCTTTTTTTTTTTGCTTTCTTCGCTGCTCTTCTTATTTGCTTCTTCCGAACCTGCCAGGTTTTAAAAGTCATCATAAAAAAATCATTAGTACACAAATCTTAGTGAGGAAATAAAGGTCACGTACCTATATGCGATACGTAAAAGGCACTCAAACGGTTTAATCCAGCAATGTAGAACAGATAATCCAAATCTGAAGTTGTTTGTATTCTCAGTTTTTTCATGGACTTTCGTTTGGTTCATTTCTTTTGGAGTTGCGCCACAAATGTAACACTTAGCTGCTGGTTTTTCGTGTGACAGCGTACTGCAAGCTTTCCCATCCAGCATAGTAAGAAGAAATTCATAGCAAACGTGACGATTTGTATCACCTACACATGTCTCATATGGAACTAATTTACTGATACAAGACTCCACTGTAGCTTACTCATTTAAAATAAAGTTGAATCCTCCTTAGCATAAATTTAATAAGTCTGCAGAAATTCGTAGAGGCTGCACTATGGGCAAAAATAGGTCCAAAATTACCCAAAATTCAATATCTCAACAGCACGCTGAATTTCGGCCATGAAAAACGACTTTTCCCAAGAGAAATCGTCCGGGGAATCTATTGTACGTGGTCTCATAGACCGGAGAGCCTTGTAGGTATGTGTTTTGGACCATTTTACCCCATTTTCCCCTACTTTTTGGAGGAAATGTTTTTTCACAGCTCTATTTTTCGTAAAACATAAGCACTTTATGCATGGTTTTAGAATACTATGACTTTAAATAACAGCTCACGAGATATTAGGGGAATACAGGGTACACTTTATAGGGAAGTAAGGGGTAAAAGTGAAAATACAATCAATGTTTTTTAATACAAAATTCATTTTATTTTAATATAAAAATATTTTTTTCTGAAACGAAATTTTAATTAACTTTCATTTGGTATTTTGAGTTCCATCATTGGCCAAACAGTTCAAAAGTTGTAAATTTTTGAAAAAAATCAAAAATATCAATTTTTTTTAGCGCCCTAATACACTGGAGTCGCTTTTTACGCGGTTTTTTTACACGGTTTTTTTTACGCGGTTTTTTTTCCGCGGATTTTGGAATTAACGCGGTTTTTTTTACGCGGATTCCGGAATTTACGCGGTATTTTTTACGCGGATTTTGGTTTTTTTTTACGCGGATATCAGAATTTACGCGTTTTATCATTATACACTAGAGTCGCTTTTTACGCGGTTTTTTTTACACGGTCTTTTTTTACGCGGATTTTGAAAGTTACGCGGTTTTTTTACGCGTATTTCGGAATTTACGCGGTTTTTTTTACGCGGTTTTTTTACGCGGTTTTTTTTTTATGCGGGACGTATCACCCGCGTAAAAAGCGACTCCAGTGTATATAAATAGTCACCCTAATGACAAAATAAAAAAAATACGGGTCTAATATGTTGCGATAAGGAACAAAACTACCAATTTTTACAAAATTCTGTGAACCACTATATCGTTTTGCTGTATACAGACAAAAAAAGTGAAAACTCTTTTAAAACAGATAGCACTAAATTAAAACTTATTTAACCTCAACTAACTTAAAATTTCGAAAAAAAAATATCTTATTATTGCAGGCAACCTTTAAGGTCATTCAAACAACCGCATCGTTCAACATTTTTATGAATTAAAATAAATTTAGCGAGGATTCACTTTTACCCCTTACTCCCCTATAAATTGTACCCTGTATTCCCCTAATATCTCATGAACTGTTGTTTAAAGACATAGTATTCTAAAACCATGCATAAAATGCTTATGTTTTACGAAAAATAGAGTTGTGAAAAAACATTTCCTGCAAAAAGTAGGGGAAAATGGGGTAAAGTGGTCCAAAACACATACCTACAAGGCTCTCCGGTCTATGAGACCACGTACAATAGATTCCCCGAACGATTTCTCTTGGGAAAAATCGTTTTTCATGGCCGAAATTCAGCGTGCTGTTGAGATATTGAATTTTGGGTAATTTTGGACCCATTTTTGCCCATAGTGGGCTGGTCGGAGTTTCTGCTGGTTCTGCATCAACGAGTCTGAGAGGAAGCATAGCAACTAGGAATAAGAATTCGTCGGTTGCATTTGAATCCGAAATTTCTTGTTTATAAATGCTGTGACCAGAACTACCATCCATTCCCCACTCACAAATCAATCTTGCTTTTGTGGGGTGAGTTATCTGTATTACTTTAGTGATGCCTGTTAACTGTTAGGTTGAGCAATTCTTGAAGATCTACTATAGCAGATGTCTCTGTAACCAAAAGGTTTTGTGGGATGATTCTGTTCTTTGCTTGTTTTAAAGCATACAGACTTGGAAAACAATCTATATGAATGGCGTTGACAGTATCTCGAATGTACTTCCGCTCTGACAGATCCAGATCAACAAACAGAGCTAGAGCTTGAGCAGGGCTTCAGTATCTATTGGTATTTTCTGCAGGAACAGATGAATTCAATGACACGTTTGCGGTGAATACTAGTTCTAGTCATGACGCCAAATAGCGGAAAACACATGGCGTTCTTTTGCTTTCCTCACATGTGACCCATTTTTCAAAAATCTGCTTTGCAAAAGTTGCAGTTAAATCATACATGGTCTTGTAAAGGACACTTTTACCAACAATTCTATGAAAAGTTTGGGTTGGAACTCGATGGAACTTTTTTTTGGATCGTTAATCAAAGTTTGAATAGTGTTTTTAAGAACATCAAATTCTACACAAGCTATTCGTTCCTGTTTATCTGAACTGAGACCAACATTAATCCAATAGGTAATTGTAACACACTCTACTGCCCTTGACTGTTACTGTCCATTTTACTGGAATTGATTCTACGCAGTAGAAAACTTTTCCGGGTATTTAGAAATTTCTAGACGATATTTGAGTTTATTTTCCTCTCTGAACACTGACAGTTCACATGGCTGTAATAGTAGTTGTGATGCTTTCTCAAGCTAACCAATACTTGTTTACATTGCAGGACGCATCCATAAATA